TCAAAAACTAAAATGCAATAAAAATCTCAATTTTGCTAAAAAATTTCCAGAACCTGATTTTCCTAGCAATCAACCCACATGATTATATTTGTCATTTATGATATACTTCTATGTCTTTCAATTTTATTATGTATTTTACAAACTTAGAATTATTTACTTAAAAAATATATCTATTTTATCTTATCTATTATATAGGTTATTTTTATAATTTTGTAATTCTACCTGAAATTTTATAATATAGGTCAATCATGTAATAAGATGATATATTATCTGGATAATAAATTACAAAATCTATTTATTAATATATATATAAAAAATAAAAGTTTAAATAGATTTCTTTCTTTTTTTTATTATCAATAATTAAATATATATTTTTATTTTCTAATATATAAAACCTAAATATCTTTAATATAACATATATTAGAGTTTATATAAATTTATAAATTAATTTTAGCTAAAATTGTATAGTCTTGCAAATTTTTTGATAAAATGTTATATTTTTTATATATACTAACTTATTATTGAATATATTATATTTTATATAAAAACTATTTATTATATCATCTAAATTTAATAAACTTAGGCAAAAAAATATTAAACTTAAGACTGAGAATATAAATTAAGATAAGAGTTTAATGTCAGAAATAATAAGTTGAAGAAAACTGTAGAGATTGATAAACTTAAAACCAGAATGATAAAGCTAAAGTAAAATAAGTCAACTATTACTAAACTCGAGTCTGAGAATGCTAAGTTTAGGCAGAGTTGGCATTTAATTATTTAATCATTTGGCTATAACTAAAATAATCAAATTTTTATTTTAAGTTTTGGTTAGCTAAAAATATTATTTTTATATACAAAAATTGATGTTTCTAACTTTAAAATATTAAAATTGCAATTAATTGATCATCCTAAACATTTGAAATATTAATATTTGCAAAATTACAATAAATTGAACATCCCAAACATTAGAGATGCCAATTTTTGTAAAATTGTAAGAATTTAAGCATTCACATTAAAGGCGTCAATTTTTGTAATTCTGTAATAAATTGAATATCCCAAATGTCAGAAGTGAATTTTTTGCATTTTGTAAATAAACTAGTCAATATTTGTAAAGTCATAAGACTTTTGACTGATTTAACCAATTGGCAATTTTGAAGCAACCAAAATGGTCATTGGTTGTAGCCAAAAATGCCAATTGAATTTTAGCTACTGATTTTGACCACTAATTTTGGCTGATCAATTAAATTGGCCAACGGCCAAAAAAATTAGGCTTGATTAAAACTAAATGCCAACTATAGTTTAATGAAATTAGAACAGGATTATATACAAGATAATAAGAAAGTGATACCAGAAGTGTTATCAAAGATAATGGCATTAGCTGTTAATGTATAGTAATATTATAGATCAATGTGATAAGAAGTCATCAGATGGGATCAGTGATACTGGATAGGAAAATAGATGTTTTCTTGAATGAGATACGTAAGAAAAAGGTTAGTACTAATATGTGAAAAAGCCTTTGATTTCTCAGAATCCTATGTCTACTACTTAATGGATGGACCATTAGCACTTAGGATAAGTATGATTGAAATATCTCAGCATTTGGATTAGTTATGTGATAAAGCACTTATCGCAGAAGAGTGTATATTAGAAGCAAATCAAGAAGAATATTTTGCTAGCATCATTATGAAGTATTTCAGGAGAAATCCTTATGTGATAAGGATAAAATTGGCAAGAAGAAGGTGAAAGGTTTAATCTATGATAAAGTCATGAAGCAACTTAACATTCTTTGTAAGAAAAGATCTCAAGATACAGGGTTACCACTTCTAGATGTATTGAGGGATAGTTTATGTAAAAAAACTCAGAGGGTTGTAAAGGTCTATAAACTGTTTGAAAAGGTAGGATTAGATAAAATAAAATATATTAGGTTATACAGCACGAATGAAATATCAAAGTTTATTAACGAAGAAATTCAAAGAATTGTTCTGCAATCCAATTAAACAAAGTAACTTTCAATTTTCAGATATTAAGTCAATTTTTCGTTATTTTTGGTGAAGCTTTGATTAATTTATCTTTTTTACCTTTCCATTCATGTAATTGTTTTGGTTGAATATTAATTTTTCTTTAATGCCAATTTTATGTTTCTCGTAATTAGCAATAATTTCTAATTTTTCTTTGGCATTCCACTTTCTTTTCAATTTTTTTGTTATACGAGTTTTTTAAAGAACTTCTGTTACTTTTTATGACCATTTCAAATAATCATGCATTTTTTATTAAAAAAAAATTCAAATATTTATATAAAACATCAATTGTATATTTCGCAAACAATAACTAAGATTATTAAAGAAACCCCAAAGAATTTTTTATAATTTAAAAAAAATTATTTGTCTCCTACATTATTACAGTTAATGAAAAACAAAAGAAAATATTTCGTGGTGAAGTAACAAAGAAGTTAGGAGTTTTTGTATTTTTCTTAAAAAAATTTTTAACTGCTTTGTAATTGTTACTACGTTAAATTTTTTATTGTTACAAATGTCCGCATTAGCCAAAAATTTAATTTACAGGGGGTATTTTAGACCGCGAAATACGGTAACAAAAAATTCTGTTTAGCTGACGCGTAATAAAATAAGCTCCTTAAATAGACAAACAATTAGAGTCCATGTCCATTTAAGTTTACATACTGTAAATAAATCATGCATATAGCAATTGATTAATTGATAATTTACATCATTTACGCAGTACACGTAGTATTCGTTTCACATCATGTGACGACTTTCTGATTGTATTTATACATCCTCTCAACTCTCGTCAACAATTTTATTCAACTCTCGTCAATTCTACTCTCATCAATTCTATTCAAACTCTCAACTCTCATCAATTCTATTCAATTTTCAACTCTCATCAATTCTATACAACTCTCAACTCTCATCAATTATATTCACCTCTCAACTCTCCAACTATCAACAGCAACTAAAATGGCTGACATCCCCACCCAACTTGGTTTCAATGAAGAAGAAACAGAAATGTTTAATGGGATGACCGCACGAGAAAGAGGGGGATTTAACCGCCTGAGAGACGACAATTCAAGAATTGCATATGTTCAAGCACTCGTGAACAAAGAAAGATCTTGGAAAGAAAAATCTGTATGTTTAGCTAAAAGAAACATATTTTTATTAGAACATTTTACTAAAACTGTTTTAGCGCCTTCGCCGTTTTTTAACATACCTTTTTCGTTAGGACCTTGGTCAAAACCTAGTTGGCTGTGGTCTCAACGTGGCTGCCCTATCCGTACTTATTATCCTTGCTTCGACCGAATAAAAAATGACGAAGAAAAACTAAAATTATTTTCGTTAGTGTTAAATTCGTTAATTTTTATCGTTGAGATTTTCATGTTATTTAATAAATTGCGATGGAGTAATATTGAATATCGTTACATTTTTCTTATATGTTTTTTAATAATCGTAGGGATATTACTATCCATACTTTTACCGATATATATCAATTTTTTACCACCAACGATCTGTGTTTTTTTCACTAAAGCCTCTGTAATAACTAGTGAAGTTTTGTTTCAATGGCTCAACTTTAAGTCTCTTTAATTTTAACTACGTTTCTGGTTATCCTATAATAATAAAAATAAAGAAAGTACTGTTTTTTTCTAACGAAAGATTTCCAAACCAAATAAATTATGAAATCCGTGAACAATGTTCATGATCAAGAAATTGTACGAGACTTATTACATGGATGAATTCCTAGATGGGAATTTAATAATATAATATTGAATTTATTGATATAGAGCCCTCTAAAATGATTCACCTGTCCTCAACTAATTGGGTTGGAACAGAACATTTTTTTTAACAGGATTTACGTGATATTCACTCGATTAGTAATTTAAACCATCTCGTACGACCAAAATTCTTAAAGATTCAAAAAAATTTTTGTTTCTTAATAATATAATTTTGAAATGAAATTACAATCTTTAACACGCCTAGTAAGTTTAAAAAAAGGCTTCATTTTATTTCAAAATTTTTTTAAATAAAGACGACGAATAACTTTTATGTCATCTACACTGTAGGTTACTTTAGGTAGACCACTTACTTCTAATAACTTAATTACTTCACTTACAAGGAATGCAAATAATGGAATACGAAGCCCTTCAATTCCCTCGATTTTATGCAGACATATTTCAGACTCTATGAAGAAAACGTTGGATGAGGTATCATTATCATGAATCAAAAGGTGTTTAAAATATCTATTTTACTATCTTGTTAATTTTAAATTCGTTTACAGACTGTGCATAAGAATGACGTTGTTTTATTCATGAAGGGCACTCCCGAACTTCCAGAGGTAAATTTAGAGACGTGGTTGATAATTTTTAAAAAGATATATATAAAACTTATTTAATTAATTTATAGTGCGGATTTAGCAGAGCCGTTGTTCAAATTTTCCAAGTTCAAGGTAACATATAAAATCATCATTCTTTCTACTTTATATTAGTAAATTAATGTCCTTTTTTTTTTTTATTTGGAACTAGGTGTGGATTTTTCAAAGATCAAGACATTCAATGTTTTAAAAGATAATGAATTAAGACAAGGTGTCAAAGAATATTCGTACGTACAAGAGGAAAAGAAAAAGGTTACCTGAAAAGCTTTTTGTAAAATTATGGTTTTTTAACATTATTTTTTATTTTTCCTCCTTTTAGACAATGGCCGACTGTTCCACAAGTATATATTAAGGGAGAATTTGTTGGCGGTTGTGATATCATGCTCAATATGCATCAATCCGGAGAATTAGAAGAGTTATTATTGAAACAAGGATTAATTGCCGAAGAATCGGAAAAGGAGGAGTAGATTTGAAAGAAGAAAAAAAATTTTTTATTTTTGTTTTTATTTATAAAGTTAGAACATTAAATAAGATTATTTAATACATGTGTAATCTCTAAATCGATATATATATATAAGAATAAAGAGAATATAAATAATAATAATAATAATAATAATAATAATAATAATAATAATAAGATACATTCAAATCTACGTGTGTATAAATAAATAAATAAATATGTATATAGTAAAACAATTATGTATATAGGAATCTAATTTTTCATCACACCCAACAACACGACTCATCATCTCTTCTTATGTGAATATACGTGAGTCGTAGAAGTAAAATTTGATTTACGAAGTTTATCAACGATCTGATAAACTTCATAATCGACCACTTGGAAAACCAAATTACTCGAATTGGCGGATTTCCAATAAATAGACCGTTTGCCATTAGGAAAGGCCAACAAGTCGTCATCACCAAAGCAAGGACCGTAACCAGATTTTTTATGTATGGCAAATCTACCCAATCTAACGAAATCCGCCTTTCCATTATCAAACTCAAAGATAAAACTATCATTAGTTGCGCGATCAAATTTCCAATCTAAAGGGTTATAACCCCCATATATTGCGGTAGAATTGTTGATCTTGAATACGACCACGGTCTTTTGAATGTTACCACAACGTTGATGAAACAAATCCGGTGAGAACCCATCTCGTTGACCTCGTAAAACCAATCGAAATTCATAAGGAATTTCCGCGGGTCTGTACATGATGTCATCCTTTCGATCAATCCAACTTGTGAGTAAAGTGGCGTGACAGATATTAAGTATAGTGTTATTAAATTGCGTGGAAATAGGCGATGTGATCACCGTAGATGACCCACACGCATTCTTCAACTGATGCCTTAATGCCACATCAAATTTGTCGGCGGGTAAAAAAGGCTCACATGGAATCAATAAATCATGAAATTCATTCCAATTCATTGACATGATACTATTCCATGGAATGCATTGACTTAGGGTATACTTGAACTCGTTCCAATCCTTTTTATTCCAACCCGAAACTTGATTACCCAATTTAGGTATTTGAAATCTCGCCCAGTTAACGATAAACCCCCATAATGATTCGTTTAATTTAATATACTCGCAATAATCAAGCGATGTCAAAATGTTTGGGGAAAAGCTGGTTGGGGATTCGAAAATTGATAGAGGGTTGTACGCAATCTTTGAGGTGTAATGAATCTGAAGTTTTTGTAAGGATTCATGATTATAAATCTTTTCATGATATGTGATGAAATTTCGATCCATCCATTCGGTTTGTCGGTGAATTAGATTTTCTTGAATATGCTCCAAAAGTTCAACCAATTTTAATTCTTCGGCCGCAAAAAGGAGATCAAAACATTCGATCCCACTACAATTCAGCAAATCAACTTTACCACTATAAATGTATCTACGAACACAAAAAAAAAAAAAAAAAAAAAGAAGGAAATTAATTTTGTTAGGTCACAAGTTTACAAGTAACACCTTGGTTGCACATACTTTAAAATAATCTCGAATATCGGAGGGGAAATGTTTGAATTACTAAGTATAATCTTGTCGTATGAGGCTTTAACCGTCTTGCTAGATAATTGATTTTGGAACCAAGATGACCTGGCTCGAAGAATAAGTGAATGCGCTGGAAATTCTTTCAGGTTATCCCCTTGACCTACACGAATGATCACATCATAAAAAGCCGAGGTATCAAATAATTGCATGAGGTCGCGAGACAATTTGGTGAGTAAATGAAATGACATGTTGTAATTATGGTTTTTATTATTATTATTTTAGTCTTTTGATAATTCTATAGGGGAAAAACGAGATAATCAATCGATTTTGGGAAAATGAGGAAAAAAAAAAAAAAAATGAAATAAAGGAAGGAGAAATATGGTTTAATATATATCTCTTGTTGTCCAATAGCATATTATTGATTAATGCATAAAGCTGCAACAAATCAGCTTTTTGGTGCTACAATTCCATTTATGATCTCGATTTATATTTTTTTTTAATGCAAAAAACGCAGGGACAAAAGATAAACAGTTATGTAACATACGGATTAATATAGAGATATAGAATCTTTTACGAGTAAATCTTAATACGGAAAAACAACGAAAGATATATGCGTATGCTGTAGAAATGTCAAGCTAAAATTAATTTCAAAGAACAGATAATTGATCACCAAAAATTTGATCTTTATGAAAGAAACTCGATAAAGACATTGAATGAGATAACCTTAGATTTCTGGATTTTACGTGATCAAATCTAATCTTTTTTTGGAATTCGAACGATATGTTTTCTGTGCGCCCAGACATTAAGTTACAGCGTAGAAAAAAAAAGATATTAAAAAGGAAGAAACTTTAAATCAAATCATTTGTTTGGATCTTACGCGTGTAAAAAAGGCATCTTTTTGTAGTACTTTTGATTATCTTTACTTAAAAAGATTTCATTCTTTGAACTTTTTTTTTTTTGTGCACACGGTTTAAGTAATCATTACCTATTTCCATTTTTTGAATTATACCATGTTTTTTAAAGTTGACGTAAATTATATAGTGAAAGTGAATTGTTAAATGATATTAAGTCGAAATCCTCTGATCGTTACTCTCTTACACCATTTCTTTATCAAAACACCAGAGATACCGTGATACCCGTTGATTTCAATATATCAAACACATTTTCGTTAACTCGTTCCAAAAATATAGTGTCGGCCAGAATTTAAGTTGTATAAATTGTTACCTCACATGATTGAATATTACCACGTGATAACAAATTAATTTCACAAACTAGAATTATAATTAATTTAATTTTTAAAGAACAAAAATTTTAAGTTCGTGGAACCCAGTTTCTATAAACGTCGATTAGGCCACACACAAACTCCGTTTTTCGATTCAAACTTCGAAAAAAAATTTTTTATACGTTTTTTATCATAAAATTTGTCTGATGGACTTGTTTTAAAAAAATTGATCAAAAATTTTATTATAAAAATCAAATAAAATTCAATGTAAGTGAACCGAAAGTTAATGAAATTTTACGCGTTTAATTACGACATTCAAACAGTACTCCAAACTATTTGAACGTGAAAATAGAAGAAATCAACAATGAAATTATCGGTTGATGTATTCTAGCACATCGCCTTCTTGGTTGTAATTGTGTCTACTCTACCTATTGAGATTAATGCTCCGCATGAGCCGAAAAGGTTTATTATTATTGTAAAGAACTTTTTGCAAAGCTATAAGATGTTGAATGCATTTATCATGATTACTACATCTTGTGATATATTGTATTTATGCGAATAGATGAAAAAACAAAGCTTTGCGCATATCGTAAATTTTTGTTTTAATGGATGCATGCATTTGTTCTTCAAATCAAAAATTCTAGAGTTGAGAATATTCACGTAAACTTTCAATAATGGATTTTTTTTTTTTTTGAACGAGACGGAATTTTTACGTGGTTATTTTTCTTTCTTGACAAAGGTATCTTATCTACACTTCCACCCATTGGATAGGGATGTTAATCAATGTGAATTAATTAACCGCCTAATAATTGGTTGAGATGTATGCAAATGTACGAGCAATCTTTATCTTTAAAAATTTCTATTTCAAGGAATTTCCGGTATTTCCGGTTGCGTAGAAAATCTCTGCGAAAAAAATTTAAAGTATTGTGCCTCCCCCTAATTTATTTTGTGATTTCTCTTTTTTTTGGACGGGACCAATAACGACAATTTGTACTTGTTTGTTTTGAAAGAAAAAAAAAAATACATTAATAAAATTAATAAAATTATGATGCGACATATAAATAATAAAGGGGGGTATGGAAATTCTTTAACCTTCTATTAATGATCTCAAAAAAAAATAAACAATTTTGTTTTTGAAATGAATTTCTCAATTTAGAAAAATGATTCTATACTTATTTGGTTAACAAATTGTGACCATGCAAATTATTAATTGGTGATACCACAAACTTTGACATTAATTCGTTAAAAAACATAAAAATAAAAAAAAATAAAAAACTTTAAAACTCATTTGGAACTTGTAACCTTGGTAAAACTGAAACTATCGGGATTTTGCTGAAACTGGATTTTCATTTTAAAAAAAGTTTTCAATATAAATGATAATGCATTTCTTTCCCTTTATTTTTTTTTTTTTTAATTTTTTTTTTTCTTTTCATTCAAAAAAAAAAAAAAAAAGGTTCTCTCATTTCATTCCATATAATTTCATTCACTCATTTTTACCAACTTAAATCGATCTTTGAATATGGGAAATCATTTAGAGAAACCTGAAGAAATTTTGAAAGGCATCGAAACTTCACATTTTGCAAAGAAATTAAGAAGGGCAATTATCAAAGATAATCATCATGTTTGCCAAAAAAAAAATCGAGAAATCCTGGATAATCGAATCCATTTAAAAATCATTGAAGACTTGATGCATTCGTACTATCGATATATCTGGAATAGTAACTTTTCTTCTCCTGTGGAACAAATGTTGCAAAGTGGTGCGAATGTACTTGACCTTGGGTATGTATAAAGATATCCCTAATTTCTCTCTCTTTTTTTTTTAAAAAATGAAACTAAATAAAACTTTTTATTTAACAGATGCGGATTTGGGCAATGGCTCATTGATCTTGGTAAAGAATATCCGGGGTGTGATTACGTGGGAATCGATTATGAAGAAAATTTTCAAAGTCAATTTAACGTTCCAAAAAATGTAAAATTTCTCAAGCACAACTTTCTTCTTAATGGCATTCCGTATAAGGATAATACATTCGATTTCATTCATATGAAGATCATGATGAAATGTTTTACGGAAGCTGAATGGAAAACCCTTATGGTGCCAGAAATTTTTCGAGTTTGCAAGCCCGGTGGTTGGATTGAAGTATGCAACTATTTTTAAAGTTCATTTGCTTCGTGTGACTGACCGCCTGTTAAACAAAATAAACGCTCTTCTGTAAACTTTAGATCATAGATTCAGATTATGAAGTTTTTAACATTGGACCTAAAACGAGAAATTACCACCAAGCGCGTAAGATCGATTTATATGAAATTATCAACGAAATGTTTATCATGTTTTGCCATTTGCTAATCTAATGCAAAAAAATCCTTTTTTTTTTTTTAAAAAAAAAAAAAGTTTTTAACGTCATTGGCATCAATCAAAACAGATCAACTAATTTGAATCAATTGCAAGACATCATGAATGAATCTCAAGAACTTGGCTTTACAATTATTAAAGAAAAGATAAGCGCATGGTACCCAATTCAGCATCAAAATTCCGATGAGACTTTTGAAATCGGTAAGAATAAAATATATAAAGATTTTTGACAATTTGAAATGCTTGCTTAACCGAATTAAAATCTATTAATCAATTACTAGCATCCGAAGTCCTGAATTCCATATACCCATTCATGTCATCAAATACCAAAATCAATCGTGCAGATTATAAGACATTATCGGAGCAAATTATTAAAGAAATTGCTGTTAATAAATCATACAGTAAAACGTATAGGATGATAACGCAGAAGCAATGATAAACAATTAATATTTCAAATTTTTTTTTTTTTTGTACATAACGTATTTATATTATTTATTTGTACGTTTATTTCAGAATAAATGGTACGCCTTGTTGTATTGAAATGTTTTGATAACATAAACCTTAAACATATGATATTATACTTTGTTTATTGTGGTGCTTTCAAAAGTGATTCGAGTTGTTTACCAGAAAAAGAAAAACAAAATGGAACTGCGTCACGGTTATTGTGATATAAATTTGGATGCCCTTTATTTTATGTCAAAAGCAAAAAAACTAAAGAAAAAAAAGTTCTTTGTGATAAATTCTTTTATTTACCATGGTTCAATCTACTTTAATTATGTATAATAGATTCAGTCTTCTAAGACCGGGATTCCCGTTAGAAGATGTTTCTTAAAAAAAGGGGAAATAATCTAAATATAGAATAGCTTTGAAAATCGATCACAAACTTATTTGCGAACGAGTGATCAAAAGTGTGATTAACATAGAACGAATAAACATTTTCTAGATAATGCAAAGTGGGAAAGGGATTTTTGAGTGGAACGAACCTTTGATGTTTCAGACACAATACACAAACAAGCGCATGTGATTTCTAAATGTGGTTTAGGTCGAAAGATTTGAACAGCTACTACTCGGAATAAATGGGTGTAAAAAAAGAAGCTGAATAGCCAAGAAGTTTGAAATTTATATTGAAGTGCATGACGGTTTTTTTTTTTTTTCGCAATGAACGAACCGTTGTCTTAATTACAAAATCACCCTTTTTGTTATTTAAGCATAATAAAAAACGATCCGAAAATTCGGTTTATGATTACAACTCACTTTGCGCGATATCCTTTAAAAGATTAATAATCTTCCTGCAAGCAACTTTCGTTTTGAGCCAAACAATGTTAATTTCATCATAAACAAATGTAACACGGGCTCTAGTTTTCCTAATTCGGCCTAAAAATTACACATTTTAATTTTTGAAATTTTTTTCTATTTTTCCCGCCAAAGGGTTTCATGTTAGAAAAAGACGTTAAGAATGGATTATTACCCTTGTCGAAATTATTTGTCTAAGAAGAAAAAATTGTCGGTTCTAAACTATGAGAATGGCACGCCTTTTGAAATGCACCTAATAGAATCTAAAACTTTGTGCAACTCAACCAAAGTGTACTTTAAAAACTTCATCGAATTAATAAAAAAAAAAAAAAAAAAAAAAAAAAACTAAATCGTCATCCTTACTTCAAAATAATTTTTTATTTTTTTTTTTAAAAAAAAATAGTTGAACCAAACTTGGAAAAGTCAATTTTATTAATATTATTTTTATTTTTATTATTATATTAAATCACCCCAAGTAGATTATTTAATTAAGATGAATTCATTGGTGACACTTTTTATGAGTAATGAAATTATCATCACCCATACAAGTAATGAATCCATGTAAATCCGGGATATTTGTGTTGATTAATTATTATTCGAGGAAAACAAAAAACCTTACATCGATTGACGCATTGGAATTATTATTTCTGCAATAATATTTTTATTACGCTTCTTCCTCTGGTCTTCGTGTAACATCTCGATTTTACTATAATAACAGGCGGCCATGCCGCAAAAAAAAAAAAAATTAATTTAAAAATAAATAAAAAATAAAATAAAAAATAAAAAAAATCTTTCGCCAAACTTTCAGCGTGCTGGGTTTACTTGATGATACACGTCAGGTGAGGAAAAAAAAAAATTTTTTTCTGTCTTCATTTTGAAACATTCTCGTTGAAAAAGTTCTGTAATATAAAAATTAATTACTAATTTTTATTCATAATACACTTATAGATTTTCCTCCTCCATTTATTAACATCACTTCCTCATTTCCGCTGATTCATTTTCCTTTTTTTTTTTTATTTTATTTCATTTTTGACGTTTTTTTTTTTTTGACCGCTCCGTATCTTTTATCAGAGTAGAACAGATAATTCAATCTTTCGTAAATTCACGAATTGGTTTTTGAAATAAATGCAGTGAATGAATGACAATAAAAAAAAACTAGAAAAGTTTCAAAATAGAGAAAAAACCTTTATATACTTTAACCTTTTGGTTCCTTTGAATCCCTATAGCAGATTATATATTTCATCATCATAGTAGTAGTCTTTAATAATATCTGAAATGATTCCATCGATAAAAGAGATAAATCAAGAACTTGTTCGTCGTTTATCTCACACGAGGTCATCCACGTCATCATACTTCACTGCTGCCGAACGAAGGGATAGAGATACTATTTTAAATGAAAAGAATTCTCGTAGGTATGCCACATACGAACTTAATTGGTATGACTTTAATAATATTGATGATCACGTTGTCACTGAGGATCCGCAGGGTGCATTCCCAGAACCAATGATAATACAAAGGTCAACTTCACCCACGAAGACCACCCCTTTCCCTTCCCCTACTTCAATTACATCATCGTCGTCATCAATTGAGGCAACATCACCAGAAACCGAAAAAATTGACAATGAAAATGATTCTGATAATGAAGAACGACAACCTTCAATTTTCGGTGGGATTACCGTAAAAACGGTAAAGGTGGTTCATGTGACCAACTCAAGGCACAATTCATTACAACCTTTACAACCTTCTCGTCGATCTTATACTCAAGATTACATTAATAATGATATCATGCAAGATGGACCGGAATTAATTAGCGTTATTACAAGAGGTTACCCTGAAAAATCCGTTTCTAAAACCCATTTGGAAAAAAAAAAAGCTCCTGGTATAAACGAATTAGACAGTAACGAGGATGATTCGAATACGCATCGCATGAAACAAAATACGTCAGCACTTTTGACAAAGGAAAGAAGGAAAACTCGTATATATAATCATGATATTAAAATTATAAATAGTGAAAGAATATTAAGAAGATCATTGTCTAACGGCGTAACAAGAACCTCATCCAAACGCCGATCCGGTGCTACAATTTATAAAAAACAACAAAAACATAAAACACGACAAATTCAACAAGAAGAAAAGATGGTTGCCGCACCAACATCGAACCATTATACAAATGACCCGACAGACATGGAAGAAGATTATGATGTCATACCAAATCCAACCAAATTTTTCCCATGGATACCAGTCCCGGAAGGTCCACCTAGGTTAATTCACGCTTCCCTCATACCTTTGGACCAGATCGATAAAGATGTAACCAGGTTTTATTTTGAAGAAGAAATACTTGCTCGGTATAAACTAAAACGAAAATCCAAAGTACAAAATTCGGTTCCTAAACCGAAAAGACCATCTCAAATTTTTAGACAAAATTTATTGGAACAAAGCCTTGCCATGTCATTTCAAAGTGGATATATACGTAATGCCCCCAAACCTAAAAGATCATCTATCAGACGAAGTGTTACCATGTCTCGACCTAAACGTAAAGAATCTCCTCTTGATGCTCCCAAACCGAGAAGACCATCTCAAAACTTTAGACAAAATTTATTGGAACAGAGTATTGACATGTCACCTAATGAAAACGTTCATGCATTTCGACCTAAACGTAAGCAATCTTCTCCTCTTATTGCTCCCAAATCAAAGAGACCATTCAAAATCTTTAGACAAGGTGTTATGTCATTTAATGAAAATGTTCAACGTAGACAATCTCCTCCTCTTGATGTTCATAAACCGAAAAGACCATCTCAAATATTTAGACAAAATTTATTGGAACAGAGTATTGCCATGTCATTTAATAATGATTATGCTGTTCGATCTATACGTAAACAAACTTCTCTTTCATCGAAAATACCAAGACGTAGATTTTCAAGGAAGGGAAGTAATGCTAAATTAAATGATAAGGAAGCAAGAAGAGAAAGATATATGAAAAGAGCTGAAAAAGTCATAAATGAGGTCACTCAAAATCAGGCAGATAAAGTGAAACAAAAACCAATAAAAGTCTTGGAGATACCAAGGATACTAGACATTGATGAATTGAACAAGAGAGTTGAAGAGCAACTTCGTAAAAAAGCATGCTTACAGTCTCCCCAACCACCTCCAAGACAACCGGAGGTAGAATTAAAGAAAGTAGATGTGCGAAGAAAAAGATCCAAAAGCGCAACTTTCTCTTTAATAAATGTACGTGAACGTTCAAATGAACCTTCACAAGGAGAATCCCCGCCTCGTCTACCTAGTCGTCATATGTCACTTTACAATTCACCAATTCATATTCCTTTTGCTACCCACATCGTTTCATCTGCAATATTTTAACTTTGTAAATTTTGATAACAATGAACATTTGGCTGGAACATTGCAACATTTTTTTTTATTATACTATATACTTCTTTAAAGTAATGTATAAATATATTATTCATTTTATTTATTTGTATTTTCTTATTTCTGTATCTCTTTTTTATTTTATTGTGTCTTGCATACTTACCGATTATATTCTCTTTTCGTATTTGATCGGTAACTTAAAACTTTATATATATATATATATTATTTATCAATCTGTCACCAAAAAAACAAAAAAAATCTTTAAAAAAAGAAAAACTTTTTAAAAAAAGCTAAAGTAAATACAAAAAATACATATTCAATAAAAAAAAAAAAAAAAAAGAAGCATTTACATGTTAAAAGAACTTTGACGTTAAAACCATTCGATTGACCATTCAATTTTTATTATCTTTATTTGTCCAATGAATGCCTTTTACATGACGTTAAAAAAAACTTCCTACAACGGTTTAGTTAACAAGTAAAGTAATCACGATCCTCGGCTTGGAAAATAATAAAATTTGCATGCCGAAAAAATTTCCAAAGTGGAACGAGATTTATCGTTTAACCCTCAGGGATAAGGATATGCACGATTACAACATTTCGGCTAGCAAAATTACATAAGCGATTTTTCGAATGAAGCTTGTATCACCATTCAAAAGTTCAACTCCACGCTTAATTTTACCTGAATACAAAGGATAAATAATAACTTTGAGGAATGATTCCGATGCAAGCATGTATTTTTACAGGAGTAAAATTTATTGGTATGAAGATAAGTGAATAATGAATAGAAAGTTTGAACTTTTTAATATGCAAATCACGTGAAATAGTCGTTATAAAATTATAAAATGTTATTTTTATTTATATAAAAGAAGAAAAGACAAATAATGATCCATGACTTTTTCGAAATGATAAACGATAGACTAAAAAAAAGAAGAAAGGAAATAAGAAAAATACCACCTCACGGAAATTTTTTTTTTTTTTGTAAATGATTACAATCCATCTTCAAATTTATTTTCAATTCAATTTTAATTTATTATCAATTTGATGAATTTGTTGCAATTTCGAGGCAATAGCCGGTTTATTAAAAGCTGCATGAATAAATGCACCTAAAGGTCGAAAATGAAATTAACACTTTTTTTTTTTTTTTTGCGTTCTTTTAAGGATATTAAAACTTGCCTAAGTGATAAACTCCGATACATAAAGAAACGCAGACGACATAACAACCAAAACGTTGCGGATCCTCCAACTTTCTCAACAAAGGATAAGGCCAATCACCAAAAGTAACAAAGTAAAAATTTATCCAAGCAACGTAACCGATGCCAAATGCTAATATATAAAGAATATGAGCGTAAGATTTTCTAAATTCCTTAGCGAAAAATAAGAAATCGGTCCATAAGCAAACTGCTGGAATCAAATGAAATCCAAAATCAATAAAGATTGGTAATCTATTATTATTATATTACAAAAGGGAGGGGGAAAAAAAAAAATTAGGTTTACAAGGGAAAAAAATGTTTAAATAGAAATGCATTTAACCTTGGTTTTTCCATTAATAACTTTTCATCGTAAGTTATAATGGTCCAATATAGGACAGAAATTAATCCTTCCAACGGCACACAAATAACCATAAACCAATCCTTCAAGAATGATATCACTAAATGATTAAAGGAAAGTTGGTATCTTTATTGTAAAACAACAAGAGAACTCATTAAGATATTACCTCTAAAAGTGAAGAAATCATATAGCAATGCAAAAATAAAAGCGAATAAAGAAAAAAGTAATCCAACTATAGTCAAGTGCTAAAAAGGTTCATAGAATGTTAAATTTCTTAAATATTTTCCCACGAACAATCCCTATTGTACTTACGGTGAATTGATAAATTAAAGTTTCTGATCTTTCTAAAGTAGGTAAGATAATAAATGAGTAGCTAAAGGAAGCAACTCCAAGTGCATGAAGGATCAATTGATAATTTATTAGTTGGTTTTTATTCATCTTCTCTTGTTTTTAAAGGTGGAAAGAGGGGTAAAGAGGCTTGGGAAGTGAGTGGGTAAAAACAGGACCTTTAAATGACCTTTTTATTATTGCCAAATATAGGTGAAAATCAAGAATTGTCACGAGTTTAAACTGGTATTATAAATGTTAAGATCTGACTGAAAACATATGATAGAATTTTGTATTATTGATATTTTTATATATTATATAATTATCTGACCGAACGACTTTATTACACATCCTCACTGTATAAAAATTTAAATTTCACGTCATGGATTACGTTACGAATACGTATGTTTTCTTTACCAGCCAGGAATTGACTTATTGGCAAGAGTAGGAAAGAAAAAGGGCGAGAGATAAATTACCAAAAACATTTGAAAAATTGAAAATGACAAAATGATAAGATCTTATTGATCCGTGCATTCAAAACGATCGGCAATGGATTCATGGTCTGGACTCCCACGCTGATTTTCGAAAATCGAAGATTATTCTATCTTTTTCCCGTAGAATCTGATTGATCTTATACAAGATTTCTGCAAATTGATTTCGGAATCAATCATTTCAGAAACCTTCTTCTTATATTCGTTAGCACTTATATTCATAATAGGTTGTATTATAGGTTGGATAGATTTGTAGAATGAGATAACATTATCTTTAGCCTAATGTCATTCGATGGGAAGGAAGAGTGAATAATTCTGTACTAATCGATCATATCAAATAAAAGAATTTAAAATATAGTAATTACCAGATTGCCTAACGTTCCACCCCATGAACCGCACGGAATCAGCTGTTGTTGACGCGCTAAATTTGTTAATTGATTTGTGTTGAGGAGTAATTGCGATAGTTGTTGAGAAATTCTTGGATTTATTGTCAAAGAATTTAAAGAAGAAAATAACAATCTTTTCAATTCAGCAGAGATTTCGCCTTCATTATGGAATTGTAAATCGGTCTCCATCAATTCAATCCAACCGCCACGTTTTGTTATCCTACATAGTTCGGTCAATACATTCGACCATTGACCTACTTTAAGCGACAAATTCATAAATCTTTGATAAACGAAATCAAAGGTATTATCGCTAAATGGTAATTGACATAATCCGTCATTATTAAATATATTCAGTTGAATGAATTTCAGATTTGAAGGTTTAATATGTGAAGGGAACATGGGACAAACATCAATTCCAATGAAATTAACTTGAGGAAAATCTGATGCCATTTCTAGTAGAAATGTCGCTGGCCCACATCCCACGTCAAGGACCGTAACGTTACCGACACTATCACTAAGTAATTCTTCTACTGGGCTAGAAAAATTCCCTCCCCATGCGTACCTGTAAAGATAATGTTGAGATTGTAATCTGTTTATTTCTTCATCATCAATTGGTAATAGATAATTACAATTCTCGTCGTTAAGAAACCTTCGATTATCAATATATTTATATTTATCATATATATTATCGCTAGTATTACTGATAGGATCATTATCATCAATTTTTTTAGATTGACATTTTCCTAAACTCACACAATTTCCCATTTATTCTTTCTTTCTTTCTTTTTTATAAAAAAAAAAAACTGGATTTAAATAAAGCAAAAGAGATTTCTCTATATAAATATATATACTTTTTGATATCCAAGACAAACGCCATATGATGAGATATCGGAGAAAGAGAATTTAGGATTCAGCCGCAATTAATTTACACAAGGCCTAACAATCAAGCCATGAATCTAACAATAAAAAAGATTTGGCTTTGTTTATCGAGCGATTTGATAAGAAATTATGCAATACTTTGTTTGAAAAAGACCAATAATTATTACTCTACAAATCAATCAATCCGTTCTTTAAAAAAAAAAAATCATAAAGTACATACATTCAAATTTAAATGAGATGCATAAGGATCTACAAAAAAAAAAAAAAGCATAAAAACAGAATTTTATTAAATCAATTAAATTTTCTCTTGCTAATACGTTAACGGCTAATTCGGAAAGAAAAATTCACATCAAATGTTTGATGTTCTCAAGCAAAAGAAAAGATTTTTAATCTTGTGGTAATTATCCGATTTACACAAAATAAATGATCCGAATCATTGATAATAAAACAAACATGACCTGATTATTTATTTATTTATTTATTGATTATTTTGGTGTTAAATTACTTTTGTATTAATCGATAACCAATAATAGATAAATTTTCTTTTATTGATACCGTAAAATTTCCTTTTCATAATAATTCCAATCGGAGCTAATTAACTTTATAAAAATTTGTACGTGCGTCAGAAAGATTTTCTGCGGTCCCAATTACTTTTAATCATTCAAGTAACCCAAATCTTTTAAAAATCCGCCTGCTTTTTCGGGAGGACGAGCGATAATGGCTCTACCGTTATTCCAATCAACCAGAATAGGCCTTTGCAATCTAATAGGTTGTTCTTTAACGAGATTAGCTAACTCTTGAATAGAACTTGGTCCTTTCACCTTGGTGGTTCCTTCAGCAGCAACATTTTCATTTCGTAAGATTTGATTTAAATCGTTTTCAAGATTAAGATAGTTGATAATATTGGTCAATTGATCTTTGGTGGGTGGTTGTTTCTGATAGTCTAATAAATCCAATTTAAAAACGCCTGGTCGTTTTTCTAACGCTTCATGAAGAATTGATAATACCTTGTTTGATTTACTACATGTTGGATTATAGATTAATGTCAAAATTGGTTGCGCAAAATTTAAACGAAACGACATTGTTGAAAAGAGGTTGAAGAGCTTTGAAAAAAAAAAAATTAAAAAAATTAAAAATATAAATAATAAGCCCCTTTTTTACACAAACATTATGCAATTTCATGTGACACCGTCGAGGTGATTTGTGATATTTGGTAATCATGTGATCGTATTAAGTCTTTTTAAGTTTAAACAAAATTCTAGATCGCTACAGAACCTGCTCCCGTAGCAAAGTGGCAATGCGTCGTGCTTATAGGTTAGTAACCTATACTTGAGCAACGCGAAGGTCGCGAGTTCGATCCTCG